ATTAGAGATAGATAGATGATACAAATATATATGATAAAGGCCACTAGGAGATCAGCATTCTCAAACTCTGTTCATCTACTTTGGCCCAACTTTTAGAATATTATGAATGGTATGGAGGCATGTGATGTGGGTAAGAGACACATCCACAGGAAGAAACTTTGGCCATTTTGAAGCTGGATTTGAAAGCATCATTTCCTGGCTCCATCGCCAACTTCTTGTCTACCGCTTCATTGCTATACTATTAGAAATTGTAAATCCTCATAATTTCTGGGTTTTAGCACCATTCTCTTAAAACCTACCACATGGAAGATGGCCTTTAGAAGGTCATTGATTGATGAAAAGGGAAGAGGAGAAGGTATGTACATGTTGATTGGTGGTGATATTTCACATTTATCAAGCACATATAATGCACCAGGAACTTCTTCAAGAATGATGCATTCTCACTGCATTTTTGTAACAACTCTACCAGGTTAAGTACCTGTTGTTATTCCGCTTTAGAAATGAGAAAATTAAGGAATAAAGTGGTCAGACTGCTTGTTCACAATTTCCAACTAGTACCAAGTCAGCCAGACTCCAACCACTAGGATATACCACCCTCTGGTTTGTGACCAGGAACCACAATATTACCCGTTAGGATCACACCTTTCATTATAAACATTAGAGCTGAAGAACAAGAATTCACCTTAAGAGTCCTAGAATACTAATTTGTGTTCTAGAGACTTGGTTAAGACATGTTCACATATTAAGCCTTTTGGATGAAATCACAGATTCAGACATGATCATGGGTTTGGATGTGATCTGAATAAATCCATAAAGAGCTCTGCCACAAAGGGGACTTCATTGTTGGTCTCTAAATGTATTGTTAGAGATAAAACTTTACCAACTACCAAAATCTTGAATCTAGTAACTAATCCTAACTGTTTGTATAACCATCACATTTTTGTCATTTTACAGGGAAAATATAATGTCCTAATCATTGACTTGAGGATAGCATAATAAACCTACAGGAAGAAAACAAAACAGATCATTCCTCCCCCTTCAAGGAGACAGTAAACAGATGGCATCAGATGTCTGGGAGAAAATAATGTGATATCAGACTTCATTTCTGAAATTTTTAGCAACTTTGAAGTGATATTGGAAAACACAGTCAACTGAAAAATCAGATTTTTCTCATGGGCAGAGGGATATTAGACATTATTTTGTGAGAGCATGAAATTAAGAATTTCTCTTTATGGATCTTTTGGTGTCCTGAGCCAGAATTCCAAGCTTAGGGGTTCTAAGGTTGAATCAGTTACTTGTATGTGATAACCTAGATATTAGTTAACTAAAGATTTGTCATTTATAAGATGATTTCTAACATAGGTAAACCATATACTTTCATAACTATTGTAAATGATATTATTTTCCAGAATCTCTCTCAATCTCAATCTATCTCTTATATGCACACACGCACGCACACACACAGTTACTTGCATCCCTAACATATTTTTTAAAGGGCCTACAACAACACTATTCTCTTTAAAACAGAAATCAAAGCAAACACGTCTTCCTTGAATGTCATGAAAAGGTGTTTAGGGACTGTTATTTCCAAACAAAAATGGGAATCTTTTCTTCCTACTAACCACACATGTTCAAGAAGGGCCCACCTGAAGGAGCAAAGAGGAAGGATATATCTCAACAGTCAGATCAGTCAGAGGCCAAGAGACATGACAACAGATGCAGCCAGCACATTCTCACCTCTGAACCTGATGTAAGTCAGTCTCTTCACATGGAGACCTTCTGGGTAGCATCAGGTCTGCATTGTGGTAGCTCTGATTTGTTCTGAATGTGGAATGAAAACCAACTTTTGCAAGCAACAGCAATCATCCAGGTATTTTTAGTCAGCTTCATTGTAATTTATACTCTTAAAATGGGCATAAGTCAATTCTGACAGTTCTTAGAATTGTGTCATCAGGATTAGACTTCACTTGACATGATGCAGCATTGTTCCTGATTACTCATATTTCACAGTTCAAAGACAAAAGAATTCTATCAGAGAAGCTAATGCTTTCCTTCACCCTTCCTTTTAAGTAAATCAAACTTTCTGACAGCACACCTATCTGTAGATGACAAGTCACATTTACAAACATCTAAATCAAACACTTGCCTTTGATAAACAAGATTTAAAGTGACCTTGGTTTCTTAAATGATGTTATCTGATTCACATTCTATGAAAATACATCATCAAAGTAGTGGGGGAAAACTGGAGAAAGAATCAGATACCAGACATAATAAATGGTTTTCCTTCATTTTTATTGATGTTCTTCTTACTTCATTAAACTCAGAATTCATCCAAGCCACCCCTTCAATTTGTGTACTAGGAAGTACTATGTCCTCATTCTCTAATCCCAGGAGGACTTTAATATTTTAACTGGGTGAGAGGATTCAATAATGAGAACTCTGAAAAAGGATTCTGTGTTGACTCCTGAGATCCCAGACATTTTTGCTGGCAAAGTGGGCTAGACGATTAGTAACCAGAGCTGGAGGAGCTAGAATGGGTGCCAATCAGTGAGGCAGCTCATTACAGTTCAGACCTCTGTCTTCTGATATGTTCTTTGAAATGGTGGCAAGCAAGAAAGAAGGCAAATGGAGCTGACAGGCCAATCAGGGTTCCAAAGCAATGAGGCAGGTGAGTTTATATCCAGAGCAGACAAGAGGCCAAAAGAGACACAGACAAGACACCAAAAATGTAAAGTAGAAGAAACCCTTGACTTTAGGGATAAAAGGCATCAATTCGCAGCCTCCTTTTGCCTCAGTCAGTTTCAGTTATTCACCTACTCCATTCCTGGTGGTGTTGGAGCCTCTAGAGAAATCATTTCAGTGTGGCATTCCCAATAGCTGTCTTCTAGCACTGTGGGTACAGAATCAGCACTTCTGTAAACTCAGCTTTTAAACTGCAAAATAAGGTTACTACAGAAGGTAGCATAACCATGCATTCATTCCCAAAGCTCTTTAAGTGGCTAAAGGCTAAGTAAAGGAGGTTGATCTGTGCACAAATACATAAGAAGGACAAAACAAGAAAACCCTAAATCCACACATGAATAGTTGTTTCATTCTCATATAAGGTTTCAGAAAAATTAAAATATTTCAGGCTTAAAATATGATGACATATATGTTTGATCTCATTAGAGTATAGGTGAAATTAATGTTTCATTCATTCTACAATGGTATCAGTTATTAAATATACTGTATTTAAAATTCTAAAACATGGTCAGAGAATGCTTTTCAGCAACCACAGAATCTTAGAAATACAGTAGGAATGGGGGAAGCAGGAAGATCCTCATTTCTGTCTTTATTCTGCCTTTATTATTTCAGATACCCTCTCAAGATTTTTATTTAGCCAACTATATAACATGAGAATTTTAGGCAAGAGCTATAAAAGCCCATCTTAGCGTTGAAGTTTTGAAGACCTCTGTTCAACTCTGTATCTAGAGATCTAGATCTATGCTAGTGGCCCAATTATTTAACATATAATTCAGTTTTTTAATTTTAGAAAATGAAGATACACTTTTTGTCCTCAAAATTATTGGGAAAGGAAATATATCAAAAAATGCAAAAGTTCTCCAAGAGGTCAGACACATTATACATGGGTAAGATGGAATTAAGAGTAGGACTCAGAGGAATCTGGTTTTGCTTATCACTAGCAACACGAATAACACTGATCAGCAACATGACAACATCCTGGAGAGCTGTGACCCTGCTGGTGGTCCTAGGAGAGGAGCCTACTGAACCACTACAAAAACGTCAACAGACTATATTATCATTCTTATGAGTAGTTCATGACAAAAAGTCAGTAGGACTGCATTTCAGTGAATGACAACAACAACAAAAGCATCATTTAAGGAAGATAATTCTAGTGCACCTATGTTTCAAAGGTTGAGGGTAGTGATAAGTGTTAAAGCAAAATAACTAAAGGTTCCATAGATAGGAAATAGAATTATAAGTTTATTATTGGGTTTAGCTATATGAAATAGCTGGCATTTGAATATTCTTAACATATCAAAATGGCAGTTACACACAACTTGACCTAACAAAATCGGTTCATTTGAGTGCAGAAGTCACCTTTGAAAAACAATAAGCCATAATGATATGAATTATATGATTTGATATTTATGAAGTTCTTATGTCACTGAGTTAAATGTTTTATCTCACTGCAAACCTATGGTTAGGTGTTATTATTAACCTCTTTTCCTATGAGAAAAAAGCATAGAGTGATTCAGTAGCTTGTCCGAGGGCAAGGAAGCAAGTGGAGTTGTCATTCAAATACACTGTGTCCTAACCCTTACCTTAGCCTGCTGGTTTACGGGAGACCTCCCAGACTAAGCAGAAAAACCAATGGATGCTATGAGCATACTAAAAGACGAACGGGCAGACACCAGGAAGAAGAGAAGGTAAGGCAGGGAGTTGCAGCATTTACTCATCCCGATGTGGGGAAAGGGCCTACCACAGCTCAGTGAGTGAAATACCTGTTCAAAGTGTGATGGACACATCAGGTTAGGTTATTGGGTCTTTTCACTACTGTAATCATCAAACTGGCTCTCCTTGCTCTAATTCACATCTAGAAGCAAATGGCTAATCATAATGGGATTTCCAAGTACACTAAACCAAGCGTTTGGTTTTCATGGCAATTATAAATGGAGAAATTAATGCTCTATCAGTCTCCAGGGGACATGACCACTCCTAGATTCCAGAAACTTAAACCTCAAACTGCACAGCCAAGGATCACATCTGGAACACAGTGGTCACCCTCAAGGTACCATCCTCCCATGAGCACATGCCCAGGTGACCAGGTGGCCCTGCTAGGTGAAACTACAAAAGCCATCAAATTGTTCTCTAATTTAAAAAATAATAATAAACTAGTTAAAAAGTAGCATCTTATATACATCATTTGAGACCATGTTTAAAATTATAACAAAGAAGGGAAATCAAATATATTTGAGTTCAGTGCTAATTTTCTTTACCTGTCTAGAGCTTTGTGAATAGTCGAATCCATAGCCACCCTAAAACAAAGAAATAAACATTTAGCAAATGTGAAAGAATTTAATATATTTAACATGATAAGGATTTACAAATGCCTATTATTAATGGGTTTAAACATATAGGAAATGCCTTAAAAAGGGACACAAAGGAAGACAGAAAATTTGATGAAGTATATAGCAAAGGAACAAGTCCAAAGAATATGCTTAGTTATGCAATAAAGAAAACCTCTCATGTATGCATATCACACCCATGGCATCAATAATCTGAACAGAATTTTTAAAAACAAAGTTATGCTGAACACTTAAAATGTATAGCCTTGAAATTGATATGCCCATGAGATACAACTTCAACAGTTATAATAGAGATAAAGCAAAACAAAATAAAAAAATGTTCCTCTGTGTGAAAATGATGGCATAGTAACACATTTTCTTCATGGTTATTAAGAGAAGCCCATTTTCTCTTTCAAACTTCATTATCCCAAATATCATTTACTGGGGACCAGAATAAACAAGACATGTAAAAGTTAAAAGCCTCCTTATGCAAGAGATGACATGACTCCTATAATATTATTACAACCTCAAAAGAGAAAACTAAGGGCCCACTCTGAGAATAGGCACTCCAAAGGGCTGACTTTCTGCTTTTACAAAATGCTAACTGTACTCAAAGGAAAAGAAATGCATTTAGCTAATTTCCTATTATGATAGAATAATATGTGCAAGATACTAATTATTCTAACTGGTATCAGGGAGTAAATATGCAGAATGTGAAGAAAGGAACAGTCTACTTTGTACCTTCAGCTCTAATGATGCTTACATGAGTTTATTCAACTCTATCAAAAGCTATCCAAATTGATGCCACAAAAGTTATTTGACTTTGTCAATTTTTAAAAATCCTCTATCAAATCATAAAAATTAAATCTGAAATTTGAGGTTTCCTTCTGCAGTTCCAATAAAGGAAAATAGAAGGAATTAACACTTCTAAAATCTCACTTTATTCTCAGCTACATCTTATTTAATCTTCATAACACCTTCTTAAACAGTAACTTTAATAACTTTCTATAATCATAAAAGTATTATGTATTCATTGTAGAAAATATGCAAAATAGAGAAAATAAAAACCAATCATGATCTCACCACTTAGGATAATACCGTATTGTTGTTCCATTTTAATATACATACACACACACACACACACACCGCATTTAGGTAAGATTAGGAATTATACCACAAATACATTATATATTGCTTTTGTCCCTTAATATTGAATTTTTACGTAATAGTCTCTGAAAACACAATCTTATTAATCACATGGCAAAACTTGTTCAGACATTTGTTGGTATTTATTAATCTGACATTACAGTGATATCCTTGCAGAAAAATTTTGATTCTATATCTGCTAAATTACCTTAAGTGAAACTCATCAAAATGGAATTTCTGAAGAAAAGGCATACACTTTTCCCAAGGCACTTGCCTATAGTTTGTACACCCAAAGCACAGAATCTATAGATCACACCGCTGAGCTCGGTGTTGCTCAGTTACTGTTTCTCAAAAGGTTCACAAACGTACTTTAACATTTTCATAAAATACTTTTTATTTCATAGTGAACATAGTTCTACTTTTAATTTTAGGGTTTTTCTTTGTTGTTACTTCTGAGCAATTTAAAAATTTTATGGTTAATTCTGCTGTTTATTACCTTTGACTATTTTGACTTAGGAAATTTGTGGCTTTCTTATTGGTTTGTAAGAGCTCTTCATACAATGCAGATATTAATCATTTGTATATCATAATTGTATAAATATTTTCACTTGCCTTCCCAGTTGTTATTTGCATTTAGGTTCGGTTTATAATGGATTTTGATGCACAGAAATTTACATTTTATGTAAGCAAACATATCAATCATTTCTTTTCTGGTTTCTTCCATGGTTTCTGCTTAGAAAGTTCTTCCCCAGTTCACCATCTTTTACCCTCTGCTCCTTTTCAATCCATGTAGAATTTGTTGGAGTTACATTGTGAAGCAAGCACTTGATGTGATTTCTGCTAAGGTCCTCTCTCAGCCTCTTTCCCAATACCACTGGTAAAATCACTCACTCTTGTGGTTCATTTGTAAAGATTTCACTTTGAGAGTAGTTGCTTTAAAGTACAATTCTAACTCTAATGTCAGTTTTGACCCTTGGGTATTTTTTTTTAACTTCTCTAAATCTTAGTTTCCTTATTTGTAAAATGGGGATAATTATACACCTATGTTATAGTTTTGTTGTAAAGATTAAACTAGATAATGTACAGAAAGCATTTACTTTGGTGCCTAGCACAGCATACATGCTCAATAAGTCAATGGCTAGACACCAGATTCAGTGCTATTTCTCTTCCTCTGATCCATCAGAGATTTTTTGAACTCAGTGTAAACTTTATAGAACATATAATATTTGACAGGAGAAATATCTCCAATCACTTTTTCAAGATTTTCTTGGCTATTCTCACCTGTTTGTTCTTTATGTATATCAACTCACTTTTCATTTCAATTATTCTTAGGATGCTTTTTCTTCCCACAGTTATCTCTTTTTTTTTGGCATGCCATATCACATAGGCCAAAACTTCCCAAATAATATTTAAAAGTAATGGCAAACACAGATATCCTTGTGTTTTAACTAGTTAAAATACAGTTGAACCTTAAACAACTTGAGGGTTAGAGGTATGGACCACCCCTCCCCACCATGAAGTTCAAAATCTGCATATAACTTTTGGCTCCCTGAAAGCTTACTACCAATAGTCTACTGCTGCTTTCATGGTAGCAAATAAAAAAATAGACCAGTATCTACATATATTTTATGTACTCATGACATACCTTTTTCTTAAAATTTTTCAGTATTTCTAGGCTACACTGTTTGCACATTTTTTCAAATTATCACAAATGCCCAAAAACTTTTCCAATATTTTTATTGAAAAAAAATCTTTGTATAAATGGACCCACACCATTCAAAACCATTTTTTTCAAGGGTCAACTGTATTAAAGGTTCTAGGGTCTCATAAGTGAGTTTGATATTGGTTAAGGGTTAAAAAACAGGTATTCTTTATAACACTAAAGAAGCATACTTCTACTCCTGGCTTTTTGAGACTAAGCATTTTTACGTCCATTCCACAGAGAAAACTGAGTTTTAAAGGGTAACATGAGTTGCCCAAAGTTGCACAGCCAGTACAAGGTGGGGCCTGAATGCACACTTAAGTTGTTTAGTTTCAATGCTTTTCTTTTCCATTGCGAACATGATATCTTATCATGGTGAGTCTCCAACCCAGCAACATGTTTTTGTACAAACTTACCCATATATATTTGTTTAGACTTTATAAAACCTATTCTTATAAAAGTAATACACTAAAAGGTGGCTCACTTCTCGGCTGATATGAAGAAATGCAGATCATCTGTTATTATCTGCAGAAATATTTCAATATTCATTAATGTTCATAAAGAGAATTTAGTAGGAGATACCAGACCCGACTCCTCCAAGGTCATCGTCTAGGCAGACAGAACAAAGAATTTCGCTAGCTTTGGGCCTCTGAGGGCACAAACACTGAGGTAGAAAAGGGTAGGACTGTGAAGAAAAACAGAAACTCTTGAAGGAAGAAATTGGGAGTTAAAAGGTGAAATGGGGATGGTAGTAGAAAGGAGAGTAGAAGGAGAGAGCCAGAGTAGAGGGTTTGAGTGGCACCCCCATACCTCCTCCTCATCTGTAGGCCATTAAAATTGAGGATGCCTGTTCAAGCAAATGCCAAACATGAATAAGATCTGGCCCACCTGCTTTCCCTTTCAAGGCCACTTGACAAGCTGGCATTTGAACTTTTCCCCTCCCTTTGACCCACAGCATTTTGGAAAGGAAAGTTTTCCTTCTAATAGGCCGATCCAAAATAAACACATGTCTTTCTGTGCTGCTCTAGAATAGTTTAACTTTAGCAATTACTAATAAATCTACAGGAAATTAAAACTGCAGACAAATTTGCAGTTTCAAGAAACCTCAATCAAAGTTGACCCTCGCTTTTCCTAGTAGGTAATTAGACAGGCCAAACTCTCTGTTGGTTGGTTCTGCCCCCTTGGGTGAGAGCTCCTCTACTGGCTAGGCTTGCTTCCTTCTCCTAGACAGCGACCCTGGGTGCTGCCCCTTCTAAACCTCCCTGTACACGAAAATATACTGGTCCTAGCAACTTATCCCTTATTCCCCCCCAGAGGAGGTCTGAGAGTCTTGTTAAAACTTCATCTATAAGGCAAAGCCTTGAAAGACTCATCCACACCCACCTTTTCCTGGTAACCAGCTTCACACCAAGACCTTCTCATCTCCCTTAACTCAGCCCCCTCTCAGTTAAGGAGGCTGCCCCTGTTCTCATTCTGCCAAACAGGTCAGAATTGTACACAGTGAGGAAAAATGATCTGCTTAAACCGATTAAAATAAATCAAATAGAATTAAATTAATTATAATTGATTTAGAATAATGGAATTTAAATAGAAAAATATGCCTTCTGCTTTCTCTACACATAGCCCAAGCCAGGGATCCACAGTTCATTGAGAAACAAAATGCTTACTTTTTCACCTTTGTCTTGACATTAATAAAAATGTAAGGCACAATCACATTTCCAGGAATTTCACATGTGGTATTACTTGGGCTACAAAACACTCCCATGACAACAGCAGGGTAGACACTATCACCATTATTTTATAAAGGAGGAAACTGAGGAGCAAAGAAACAAGTGGATTGCTAGGTTTATATGCTCAATACATGGCATCAATAGACCTTAAACCCAGGACTTCTGTTGTCAAATCTAAGTCTTCCTGCTTTCTGAAACTGATTCCCACAGTGTCTAGAACCACTGGTTATTAAATTTCTGTTGTTTCTATTAAAGCCACAGAGGCAGTCAAAGTTTGTTTCTCAGCAATTGTTCAACAAGACTAGTCTAAAGCCCATAGTAATTACTTTGAGACTGTCCTACACAATTCTTGTTTCTTTTTTCACTGAATAAGCTCCTAAGGTAACAAGCAG